AAGTAGGAGGAGATCAGTCTGGGTTGCATACAAAACTCAGTGTTTAATTGTTTATAAAACCAGGAAGAAAACGGATCAGATTCTGTAATCATACGTTGTATATGCCTCCAGCATAATTCCAGAAATCCGAGTAAACCATAAAAGCGGCCTCAGCTGGTCCGTTTGTCATAATTTCCATTTGAATCTTTTTTACATCTTCTTCGACATAATATGCCTGCTCCCCTGTGAAATAGTGGTAAATTAGCCAAGCGTTCTGAAGAAAAAGTTGATGGAGCAGTATAAGTTTTCGCAACAAGTTGTTACAAGCAACACTTTGAAAGTCGCATCGATAAGTGGAATACAAACTAATTCATTCAATTAGCCGTTCAAAACCCAGGCTGGAACGCATCAGAATTGTCGATGCTATCATACTTTTGCATCATGACCCCCTCCTAGGTAGGTCGCGCATTGGTGCGAAAGCTGCCTATATAAGGCCGCCGTATCTGCATTGAAGGGGTTTTTTATCGGAAAAAGTAGTGTCAATCCCATCGAGTATTGTCGACCGACCAGTGGCGACCCCGTGAAGTGCGTCGACCAGGACGACTTACGAAGGATGAGCACGCCGCTGCAGCCCCAAATAATTGCCGAGGAGTCGACGACCCTACTTAACTGGCCGCAGTATCCGACCAGTCGACTGAAGCGTCCGGGCCAGGGAATCCAACAGTGCGCTCTTACACTAAACTCGCAGATTACTAATGGCAGGAATGTTCTCTGCGCTGACTGGAAAGCGAAAATGTTGCTAAAGCGGGCGTTCATCAAACCCAAGAACGAGCGTGTGCTATCATCCGTTTTCCTGTTTCCATAGTTAAGTATTGTTGGGCGTGCAAATCGGCACAAAATCTCTTTTACTTGGAACATTAACGACCACACTATCTTTTCTATCTTATTTCAATTTCGTCCCCCGTTTTTATGCGTTTTTGTGCCCGCCTATATGCATATGCAAATTGCAAAAACGCATATTGGGACGACCCTGTCTGTGTGTATGTATGTATGTATGTGTGGGTGTGTATGTTTGTGTGAATTGCAAAAACGCATATTGGGACGACCCTGTCTGTGTGTGTATGTATGTATGTATGTATGTATGTATGTGTGTGTATGTTTGTGTGTGTGTGTGTTCGTCTGTTCGGGTATTTCAACTTGGCAACCAAGCAAGTTTCAGCGCCGAGATTTTGCTAATGGGTACCCCGTCCAAGTACCACCCCAGAACCGCGGTACCATCCTTCACGCACGTCTGGGCCCCGCGTACGAGAGGGAAAAGTTTTGGCGGGAAAATTCATAACTCGAGAACGGAAAAGATAGAAGGCTGAAAATTTGGGAATATGTGCCCATACCATGCGCGGCCCTCCCATTTTAA